TACCTACTATATAGATAGATTGGTGCATATTTTTTCAACAATGCTTTTCCCCCCTAACCAATCCTAGCAAACTAAAAAAGGGCCTATATGTCTATGGAGATTCTCAGTCGTCCAGGTTATCATTGTCCCAAAGATGCTTTTTTCAAGAGGCAACTTGGACTTTCTTTGTTTTTCCTTGAAGACGTTTCAACTTCTTTTCCAAGAAACTTCATTTCTGAAGAAGAACTAAAGAAACTTCTTGGATGAGAGGTGAAACGTCTTCAAGGAAAAGCAAAGTGCGGTTGCCTCTTGAAAAAAAGCAGCTTTTGGACTTCAGTGCCTATATTATATTATAGTATTGTAGCAAGCTACGATGCCCAGTTCAACATCTGAAGGGGATGGTAAGCGGAAGAAAATGGCTTTTTTCCCAAAAGGGAAGATTAAATGAATTTGGGATCTGTATAGAAAGAGCAGGAAGGAAACCATGGGAGATAGAAGCAAAGTCTGTAAAATGTTGGCTTGGGGGAATAAATTGGATAATACCAGAGCTCAAAGTCATGCAGCTGAAATTGATGGCTAGGAGGGCAAGTTTATGTATTTCATACATCTCTTGGCTAATTTACCACTAGGAGGTGATGATAGCGTGGTGGGTGAGAAAGCTTTATTAGCAGATAAGACAAGTCTGTGAAAGTTAGCTAGATCAATCAGTTGCTATTTGTGAAGATCAAACAGATCTGTTAGCTGCTAATAGGTTTTCATTACAGTAAGATAATCTTTTCCAACTTGGCCCCCTCTAGATGTGTTGGGACTAATATTTCCAGATTCACAATTGTTGGGCATGTGTCATTGAGGGAGTTTTACTCCCAAAGCATCTGGATCATGCCAGTTGGGGGAAGTTTGTGTAATTAATTGCTGTTAGTTATAGTCAAAGGAAGCTAAGATGGTTACAAATTACTCTACCCTGTCTCATTAATATAGTTACAGTATATCCTTTCTGTCTCTGTGGCTGTGGGATAGAAAGGGAAAAGCAGAGAGGAAGTGAAAGGATGTTAAGGACATTTGCAGGCATATGTGTTGTCTAATATTCATTTACTGCAAATCTGTCCGATGCTTTTGACTGCAAAAATATTTATTGGGAATATTGTAACTTTGAAACTAATGGGGTATTCTGCCTTGAAAAAAAAAATCTGCCTTTTGCCCAGAAAAATTGGTAATGGAGATAGAAAGAGAATTGGTGTCTGGGTTCAAAATAGACTTGCTACATATTTCATTATACTGGTGTAGGCTTTCACGGCTGACATCAATCAATCAAGCAGTGATAAGTTTTCAGGCTTGTCTAGTTTTCTAGTGTCCTGGTGTTTCATCAGCAGCTGTAGCTGGCATCTTCGGAGATAGAGTAAGCTGCCTAAGATGCCAGCCACAATTGCTGGTGAAATCTCAGGGCCCCAGAAAATTACATCCTGTCCATTCAGCCTAAAAGCTTCATATATTTCATTTTTCTTAGTTTTTTAAATACCACATGATTTTATAAAATGTTTTATTCCTATTGGCTTTTAGCTATGCTGTTTTGGAGTTCTGGCACTTGTAAGCTCAACACATCTGGAGAAGACAACCAATGAGAAGACTAATTTAGATTCATCCTGACTTTAACATATGAATTGAAATGGTCTTCTGATCTGGGAATCCTATTTCTATCTTCCTACTCAATAAGAGCTGGAAAAGAAGTTTCCTTCTAGCTCTTTTCTTTAAGGAGTGTTTTTATCAGGGATCGTGGAAACTGTCCATGGAAGCTTCCAAAGATCAGACATCCATATTTTTATTAGGTTTCAAAAAACCGTAAAAAAACATTGTTTTTTATGCCAGAAGGCCTCTGGAATTAAGATCAGTTTATCTTCTGATACAAGAGTTTCTGGTTGTTAGTGCATGTTGTTCATTGGTATTTTGATATAATTGTTATTGTGTTGGTTTATTGTTTTAATATCACTATTGGATCAAGGAATATTAGTTGTACAGAACCATGCATGTTAGAAGTTTTACATAAGCTCCAAAGCAACGAGTAACTGAGTAATAGTGCATAATTATCTACTTTCAAGTATACTTATTTTTATATTCAAGTTTTACATTTAATTTTAATCTTGTAGCACACCCTTGCTTAATCTCATAATAACATTATGAAGTAGGCATATGAAAATAATCAGGTTCCTGTTGATCTATGGCTCAAAAGAAAAGCAGAATTAATAATATCTTTATTTGGTTTGATATGCACATTTCTGGGTTCTCCAGAACTCTTCACTAGGAAAAAAAAAAACAAAACCAAAAAACAGGAGGAGAAACAATAGTAACAATAACAATAACATTTAACGATTAGGCTGGCAGTTTCTCCTGCTTGAGCAGGGGGTTGGACTAGATGACCTACAAGGTCCCTTCAACTCTGTTATTCTAGAGGTTTTATTCCAGTTGGTCATCTTGCAGTTTAAGCTGCTTTCCCCTATAGCTTTGTTAAGAAATGTCCTTTGCCCCTCCTTGAATCAGCTGAAAGCAATAACACGAGGATGCACTTTGCCAGTCCTTATCTTGCTTCTCTTCCTAATTCCTGTACTCTAGTGATTTGACTTCTGGCAGGGGATTTCTGAGAGTTGAAATCCCACATTGTAAAGTTGCCAAATGCTGCTATAAGGCAGGGGTGTCAAACTCGCAATGACATGTTGTCGTCACATGATGTATCACAACTTCCCCTCCTTCGCTAAACTGGTGGTGGGCATGGTCAGCATGTGATGCATCCAGTCCGTGGGCCACGAGTTTGACACCCCTGCTTTAAGGTAATAGATGTAGGTAGGAGAAAGAATAGCAAAACCTGGGGGTGGAGTTAAAAAAGAGATTAGCCTAGAATCTCTACGTAGTCACAAGTGGACCAAGTCCAACCCTTCTTGAATTCTGCTGACCCTTATCTAATTCTAAGTAGGTGCTAACTTTTAGTTGAGAAGATTCCTGTGAAGATTGGCTGTTTTAGTAATAAATTAGTTTAATTGGACTTTCATATGTGGATCTGGTCTTTCACACCTGACAGCAAAGTCTAATGCATTTTACCTACCCTGAATTTATTGTATTATACTGTTCTAAGAAAGAGGAAAGTTCACTGGAATAGCTTATAATAATCTAATATTGTAAACAAGATTTGGTAGCACCCTTTCTCCCACCCCATTAGGCTTTTGTGGTCTGTAAGTAATCCCTGAATTACAACCATTCGTTTAACAATGGCCTGGAATGAAGATGGCCATGGAATGGTGCTTTACTGCCTGTAAAGCACTTCCAACTATTGTTGTACCACCACTCCTGTGGTCACATGATTGTGTCCTGGATACTTGGCAATCTGTATGTACTTATGACCTGTTTCCAAGTGCCAAGCAATCATATGATTGCCATTTGCAATATTCTCTGCTGGTCTCTCCAGAAAGTCAATGAAGAAGCCAAAGGGAAAGTTGTAAACTGCTGCTGTCTGCTCTAGAGCTCCCTCTCAGGAGGCAGCTCTTTGAAAGCAAAAAGGCTGCCTGCTTAGGAGAGAGAAATCCCTTTGACAGGTTGCAGAAAGAGAGATCAGGTCCTGAAAATCTGTTCCTGCACCCCTCAGAGGAGTTTCCTTCCCTGCACAGAGGAAAGCTGAACTCGGCAGGCAGCTTTTTTGCTCCATCGACTTAATGATCCAGGAAATTGCTTAACGAGTGCAACTGGAAGTTCCTGGGTTATGGTCACGGAGCAAAACAATCGCATGGACATCTTGCTTATCAACCATTTCACTCAATGACAAAGAATCCAGTCCCAATTGAGGTCATAAATTGAGGATTGTCTGTACTCGAAAGGTGGCAGCCCTGCTGATTAGTTGCTTGATTCATTTTATTGCTTCTTTTTAATGATAAATTGGGAATGATTCTTCTTGTTCGTGGATTTTGGTTATGTGGATTATTAGTTGTTCAGGGTTTTTTGCTACCTGGTTTTGAATACTTGCATTCTGCCCAGTGTCACTACCATAACTGTGATGGCCATATAAATGGTTTTAAATAAATAGGGATGTGGCAGCAAAAAGATTTTACCATGTGACATGGTTGGGTACAAGTGGGGACACATCACTCAGTTTCAAGACAGACACTATACAATGACAGCAGCAGCTAATGGTAGGTATGTCTACCCGTGTATAGCATTTTGGATCTTAAGATGCTCATATTTGTCTCTGTCTCCTTAAAGTTGTACATTTTCTGGATAGAAAGTAGAATCTGGGCAATCCTAGGAAATTTTGAGTTAAGGTTGGGCCCATAACATACTACTGCTTGCTCTGAGCTTTGTACTCTGACAGCATCAATAAACCTTGATGATTAGCAAACATTTGAATCAGGCTTTCGCTTGTTTAAAGCCAACTTTTTAATTATTATTGGTTTTCTGTTCGTATCGCCTCTAATTTGTAAGCGATTATTAATGTGTACATCAAATTTACCTCAAGCAATAAGTTTGCTTTAGATTAAAATGTCATTCTAAGATATATCAGATATTTCTGCAAAAGATTTAACTTTTTCAAAGGCATTTTTAAGTCTCAAGCATAAAATATCAAACATATAAGAAAATACTGGTGGGAAAAGCCAAGATGAGGGAAGAAAAAGAGGTAACGGGAATTGATTCTTTTGATAAAGAATCAAAAGACAGTAAGATCAATGTGAAGAAAAGTTACTTTTGCTTCATCTTAATCTGGTCTGTTTCATTTGGCTTTGGCATGTAGATGGATCCTGATATTGTGGCTTGTACATTACAGCTTAATAAACCACGTCTAGCTAGTTGTGGTTAATTTGACAAACACTAATTAAATAAACAACAAATTAATGCAATGTATAAATCGCATGATAGAGAAAGAAAAATGGAGAAAAAGAGCATCAAAAAAGGAACCAGGTCTAGTATGATAATCCTTTTTTTAAGCTGTTTTAATTTCTAATCAGTTATCTTCCATCTGTTTCCTTTTTTATTTTCTGCCGGTGCAGATGGCTGCGGTGATCAGTGGTATTTCCCGGCTCTTTCAGCCGACAATTGCAGTACTCTCAGCGGAGAAGATATGCCAAGGGACCAACCCATGGTACTTCCTTATTGGCCTTCGCATGGTGACTTTATTTTTTGCTTATGGGCCTTGGGAGTCCCTCAAGGCCGACTTGGTTTGCCGTTGGCCCTCCAACATTGGGGACAGAAATAAATTTTGTTCGGCCATATGCTATAACCAGCGCTTCCCTGTCCCCATCTCTGGTTTCTGGGTTTTCCACTTCATTGCCATCATTTTCACAGTAGCCCTCTTGAAGTTTGTTTACGTTACAAAGAAAAGCTCCACAGACAAGGATACAGAAGCTGCCCGAAGGCCCAAGCCCACTTCAGGGACCGAAAGTTCTCCCAAAGTGGGGGAAGAGTTTTCTTTCGGGGGCTGGAGATATGGGATCTACATCTTCTGCATCGCCCTCCTTCTGGCAATTGATGTCGCCTTCATCTGGACACTTCTGGGCCTTCAGTTACCCAACTTGAGTCCAGCGGTCACAAATTGCTATCCTAATGACCCAGCCTGTCCCGACACAGCCCAGTGCGCTGTCACTGCCGTCAGTGACAAGCGGGCCATCCTCTGGGTTTTGGCCTTCTGCTCGGCAGCCAACATCCTCTTCTGTATCGGTGTGCTGTCCGCACAGTGCTGTCAGGCCTGTGGTTTTTGCAGAGGCCCTGAGAAGGCCAAGCCGGCGGAATATGGCTGCCATTATCATGGTGCAGGTTGCCCGGGTGACTGCGGTAGATTGACAGAGGTGCTTAGCAACCGCGAGATAGTCCAGGCAGGGGCAGCAAGGTGTGGATGCCAGCCAGAGGGAGTCAACTGCTGCTGTCGGCAAGGCAATGAGGGAAGCAGGGGCGTGGCCTGTGGTTGCCAGGACAACCAGCTTTGCCCCTGCTTCTTCAGTGAAAGCAACACAGGGTTATCCTCCCTGACAGGCAGGGAGGATTCAGAGGGGAAGCTCTTAAGAGGAGACACAGAAATAGGGGGAGAAAGGAAAAAGTGGGGAGCAGGGGAGACCTGGATGCAGGTGAACAAGCCTGCCAAGATGGAGGCCCAGAGGGGCCAAGGCAGCCCAAGGGGGGGCGCCGTAGTAAAAAACATGGCCAAATATCAGCCTCGGAGAAACTGGAGGTTGTAGGGTGTGGCAGGGCAGGAAAGTAGATTTTTAGATCTGCTGCCTTGAAAGTACAGTCAGAGTTTGCACATTTCCCTGACGGATTAAGGAAAGCATCATCCAGGCCAGGGTTTTGTTGGCTGGAGAATTCTAGGAGTTGAAATCCAAATGTCTTAAAGTTTTCTAAGTTTGAAAAACACTGATCTGGTGTTTACAAGTTCAGGCTTTTGCAGGTTGTATGTGTATATACATACCTACATATACACACATACATATACACACATACAAACACACAGACATATAATTATATGTATGTAACATACAATATATAATTTTTTTTATTATTATTTTTAAAAGGAAGATAAAAACTAAGTAAGAAAAAGAAGAGAAAAAGATCAAGGAGAAAGCCAAAAGTGCAAGAAAGAAGTAAAAGAAAAATAGAAACAAAATATATAACAAAGCAGTTTCTACTCTTCTGTACAACAGCTACAATTACAAATTCACCTCTTATTCTACAGCTACAACATTCTTCTTTTTATATAATTTATCCTGTCTAATCATCAGTCGTAAATTCATAAAACAAAAATGAGTTCAGCCATAAATCATAAGTACATTTTTTCACCATAAGGGGTTTCTAGTCAGCAATAAACATCAATATTGCCCTTCCTCTGATCAACTTAGCCATCTCAGCAAGTTCTGTCGTCTTGACCAACCATTCCTCCATTTTGAGTAATGCTGAATCTGGGTGTAAATATTTTCATACATGCTTATAATAATTATTATGGTTTTAAAGGAGATGCTAACACTCTTATTAATTTTTATAAGTATATGTGAAAATATTTATCAAAATCCTTCAGTTTGTATATTGCTAAAATAGGTCAGGTACAAGGTGAGCAATTATGCCACAGCCTTATGCCTGCCACTCTGATATATCACAGAAAGGGAAGAAGGGAGGGACAAAAAGTTAAAAGCGACAAAATCATCTTACATAATTTAATTAGGTAATTATTGTCACAAGGCTAAGCCATTAATTATTTTCTTGGAAAACAATTTATTTATTTATTTGCAATCTCATGCAAACAATTTGCAACCTATGTCTTCCAGCATAGTTCAAATAAGCTTACAAACAGAGATAAAGAAAAATTAACTAACAAAATCAATTAAAAAAAGTTAAGCATAAGACAAAATGGCTATGTATATATATTTTTAAAGACCAATTAAAAATCACAGTCTTTAAGATTAGAACAGACAGCAGAATTAAATTTCTCAATGCTACAAAGTTGCAGTAGAGATACTAAATGTAAACATACTTACTCCATACTTCTAAGTCCTTCCAAATATAAATATGGTCTTATACTGATATGATGCAATCTTACTTTTCCCAATTTCTTGTGAAGGAATAGGCACCAAATTATTTATACTAAAGGCCATTCCTGAATTCCTCCAGTTGAGGAAGGGCACATTGGTGCAAAAGACAGCTGAGTAAGAATATATAAGTAAGTTTGAATTTAAACTAAACTTTATCACAATGAAGAGTTATTTTCTCTTCTACTATATATGTTAAGTAGATTTTTGTTACAGGTAAGTCCTTGACTTACAATCATTTGTTCAGCAACTGTTTGAAGTTACAACAGCATTGAAAAAAGTGATTTATGATCAATCCTCACACTTACAACCATCACATGATTAAAATTCAAGTACTTGACAACTGGCATGTGTATGGATGATTGCAGCATCCAAAGGTCATCTGATCATCGTTTGCAAGCTTTCCAGCCAACAGGTGACAAGCAAAGTCAATGAGGGTTCTTAACAACCTTATGGTTCACTTAACAAATGTAGTGATTTGCTTAACCATCATGTCAACAAAGGTCATAAAATCAGTCCTAATTCACTTAACACCTGCCTTGTTTAGCAATGGAAATTCTGATTCCACTTGTGGTCATAAATCAAGGACTACCTGTGTTACCAGTTACTGGTCAGGTGAATGATAGTTGTGCTTATCTTGTTAACACCTTATTTTTACGCTGATTGCAAGTCTTACATTTCATAGTCTCCTGAAACTTGAAACTCTTGAAATACAATATATGTATACTATACTGTCTTCTTGTCTTGTGTTTGGGAAGGCAGGATGAGGAAAGATTGAAGAGGAAGGGAAAATCCCCTATAATTTGATATGACCAAAGCCTGACTCACCTAAAGCAACCAAATCACTTCAAAGATGCAATAAAATTTTATTAGCATGCAAACAATAAAACAATATATTCTAGGCTTCCAGCAAAGCATTGTCATTTTGCTGACAGCCCTGATCAAAAGCAGAACCAGTACTTATATATCCTTGTCTTCCTATGTTGCAAAGGCAGAGAAAACTGCAAAAATAGTGGAAATGTTGATGCAAATATGATCAAGTTGGAATGCTTTCAATAAATCCGTTTGGGTGACATTATTATTATTATTATTATTTATTCCTTCCCACTATGTCAACATGCTAGCCATACTATCTCTGAAATATACAGTGAATATACAGGTAGTCCTTGATTTACAATCGTAATGGAGTCTGCCCATTATGGTTATAAGTTGTGACTGTTGTAAAATGGGTCATCACATGACCAACCTGATTGTATGACTTTTTTTTTTTGCAGTGGTCAATATGTGAATCATGATGGTTGTTAAGTGAATCTGTGGTTGTTCAGCAAACCCATTGTTTATGATGGGGTATTTTTGACAAAAACTGGAAGAAAATGCCATTTTTGGGCAAATTTACATGGGACACTAAAAGGGATCATAAGTGTGGGCTAGTTGCCAAGCACTTAAAATGTGATAATGTGACTATAGGGAAGGGGGTGATTATCTGTCACAACTTTGAACTGGGTTGTAAGTGCCTTTTGGGGGATGTGCCTTTGAATGGTTGCTATGCAACCAGTCTAGTGGTGGGTTGCTACTAGTTTGCCCCAGCGAACTGGTAGCGATGGTTGTGGGAGGCTCCGCCCACCCAGCTGGATGCTTCTGCGCATGTGCAGAAGCTTCTGTGCATGTGCAGAAGTGTTGCATGCACACGCGAGTGTGCAGCCATGAATGAACCAGTAGCAACGGGTTTTGAAACCCACCCCTGAACCAGTCATAAGTTGAGGACTGCCTGTAAACAATTTGGTTTCCTGGGCCAAAGGCTCCTGACTGATTCCTCTTCCTCAGGGTTTTTTCATCTTGCTATAACTGTTTTCTTACAATAGGTCTTTAAGCAGTTCATGTGTGTTTCTGGATTTGGGAGGGGATCTCATAGGTTTGGGATTACTTGTATGAGGAGGGTTAGGGTTTTCCACCAATAATTGATTCCTCTTATGGAGATAACAAATGCTCCTATACATAGTTTGCATCTAGTTAGGATAAGTTCCTTATTCTGCAAGTCCTTTATTATTTCAGAGGCATCATAATCTCATTTGTTTATCCAACAACCTCCATTAATGAGTCATCTGGTTATCTAAGCTGACAAAATGCTTTTATGTGGAGTGCACCTATCATTGGTTGAGTTAGACAAATCATCATAAATCACCAGAAACCACACCAGATGCAATCACTAAACAGGGAACAAAAATGGTGTTTCCAACTACCTTGCAAACCTCTGCCTAGCAAGATTGACATCCAGTTGCATTTTTTTTAATTGACATAAAGGGGGAATTATTTATTTGTTATTAAATACGCAGGGAGCAACCTTGTAAGTGCCTTCATTTAAGTGTAAATAAAAATAAAAATGTAAATAAAATAGAATTTAAGGTGGTTGTTTTAATCTTGGAGTTGTCAACTTTTGGAAATGTACCTACCTCCCACTCTAGTTTAAATGCTCGGTTATTCAATGAACAGAAAACTAGACCAGCCGAGAGAATTACTATTGCCCCATTGCCAGTTCTTATTGCACTTCTGTTGTCTTTCTACCTAGTCATTGCAGTCCCTCCAAATTTACGGGTTACAGATTTTATCCATCTTAAAGTTACCAGTGTATGGTGTGGAAGTAACACAACTTTGTCATAACTGTGACTAAAATAGAAGCCATAAAATCTTGTGATGGAACTTGAATTCTTATCCTGCCTTTATTATTTTTTAAATAACTCATGGAGTGAACATACTCCTTTTTTCTGCTATTTTCCTCACAGCAGCCACCTTGTGAGGTGGACTGGGCTGAGAGAGAGAGAGAGAGAGAGAGAGAGAGAGAGAGAGAGAGAGAGAGAGAGAGAGAGAGAGAGAGAGAGACCCAAAATCACCCAGCCAATTTTCATGCCTAAAGCAGGACTAGAACTCATTGTCTCCTGGTGATTGGCCCAAAGCCACCTAATTGTTTTTCATGCCTCAGGCGGGACTAAAACTCTTCGGGTGATTGGCCCAAAGCCACCCAACTAGCTTTCATGCCTAAAGCAGGACTAGAATTCACCATCTCCTGGTGATTGGCCCAAAGTCACCCAGCCAGCTTTCATACCTAAAGTGGGATTAAAAATCACCATCTCTGGTTTCTATCCTGCTGCCTTAGCTACTAGACCAAATTTAATTAAGCGGGTGAGGGATAGCAAAGGACCAATTCCCGCCCCTTCCCTCTTCTCTTTGATCTTTCAGGCTGAGGGTATCTGGAGCATCAGTTCTTGAGTAAAACAAACAGGCTGGTGAACTTGGAGAAGACTGTCCTGTATGAATACTATGGTATCCTGGCCCATAACATAGCACTTTATAAATAAAACCAGCCTCTTGAACTGTACCAAGAAACATACTGCAAGCCAGCAAATATCGCCTCTCTTCTCCCCTCCTCCTCTCCTCTTCTCTTCTCTTTGTGCCCTTTCTGTGATAGCCCCAACTCTACGGAAGACCATTTCTGCCCATAGTTTAGTACAAGATGGGCAGCTACACAAATGTTTTAAATACATACATACACACATTCTTACCAGCCAGGATGTGGCTGTTGCATTCTGTGCTAATTTCAGTTTCTTGTTTGTCTTTTAGGCTGCCACAGGTGAGTATATTCCACCATCCCACAGGTTCTTCGGTTTTCCCCTAAAAATTAAAATAAACTATGTTTAGGGCCAGCATCATTTTTTCCACAGTTGGCATCCAAGTAAATCCATACTGAGCAGAGAACCACATGTGTTGGGTAATTAAAACTTTGTAATGTATGATTTTCTGTAACCCATTTAAAACTATCAAATGTATGTAAATATATTATTATAATATTGTTATTATATTATTAAGATTATTTTATATATTATATTATGTACATTTATGTATATTTAATATAATTTATGCAAAATGTTATAAAATGGTGATGAAAAACATACAGACTGAAGTAATTTATTTATAAATTAGCTAAAATGAAAAATGTGATCCAGGCTCATTTTCCCAATAGTGGATATTATTTTGGGGCAACACAATCCTGATTCAAGTTTTATTAATTGATGCTTTCTTGTGTCTCTTGTGATTTTAGATTTTAGCCGTAGCTTCAACATATTTCTGCAGTGTCTATTAGAGGAGAAAGATGCTGCTTTTGAAGCTTCATTTAATTTTTTCCCCAATGCCAAATGCAATGATGCCATTTTTATATTTGGAACAATGAATGATATTTTGACATTCAAATCAAATAAATACATTACAATCTTTGACCAGCCTCTGCAGTAAAAAAAAGAAAAAGAAAAAAGAAAAATTTAACACAACAATTAATAATGGGGAACAGGAAAAAAAAAACAATAGGAGAATAAAATGACATATCTAATTAAAAGCTTTGTGCTGTTGTATACCTTAGTGAAGATAGTTGACCAAATAGAAGAGTTAGCATCCCTTAAGTAATGAACATAACATTTATCTACATGACCCTCACATTTGGAAATGATTGAAGAGATCAGAGCATATCTTGGGGCCTCATAAAAAGGACACTGAGGACTTGAGTGATGAGTGAAAGTTTTTGCTTACCTGGAGCCACAAAAGATATTTGAACAATAACTCTCTCTCTCTCCCACCCAACCCAACCCACTCTGAGAGAGAGTGGGGCAGGGAGAGGGGAGGGAGAGAGAGAGGGGGAGGGAGGGAGAGGGAGAGGGGGGAGGGAGGGAGGGGGAGAGGGAGAGGTGGAGGGAGAGGGAGGGAGGGAGAAGGAGAGGGGGAGAAAGAGAGGGGGAGGGAGAGGGAGGGAGAAGGAGGGAGGGAGGGAGAGAGAGCTCTTTCTTATCTATTCTCTCTGAAATATGTCTAATGTGTGTAAAATAATATCAACTCTTCCTTTCATGATTAAATGAAATGTTCAGGTCTTCTGCAAAATTTTCTTCTTAGAATGTAAACATTCTAATTTATTCATTTCCAGAAATGTATTTTCCAGAACAGGAAGCACTTTGTGATGGCTGGATTTGTTGTCACCCAGAAGTATTGTACCATTCAAGAACAGCGTTATTTTTGGATAGCATCAGGGTGTTGCAGAAAATGAAGTGACATCTGCAGGGTGTGGTCAGCACTGTCAAGATGGTTGCCTCAAAAATGTGATCCCAACTCTACATTTAAAACATAAAAAACAGGAGGACTTCAAACACCCTCTTGTGGCCACACCTTGACTTTTTCCACCAAATCCTATGGACACCCTTCCAGATTAAATTACCAGCAATAACAGTCACAAACAAAAAACAAAAAACAAAAAAAAACAAACGGCAGATTCAGAAGAGAAACTCTGCAGAGCTGGGAGAGTAAGCTATATCCCATCTATTACGGTAATTTCTCATAAAAAAGGTAATATTTATTTATTTAAGTGAGGAGCAGGCTATCCACATGAAAAATGCTTGTCCACATTCACCCCTTCAGCTGCCTTTGAGCCAACATATTCTGAAATGGGCTGCTTTCATATTAAAATGTTAATCGTATTAAAGAAGGAATTGTTCTCTTCAAGTCTTGGAATTACATGCCGTTTATGAAGAAATTGCTTGTAGCTGTTGATTACATATAGATGGCTACAATGAAAGAATGATTGATTGATTGATTGATTGATTGATTATGTGCCATCATGTCAGTGTCTGTCCTTAACAAATGTTCAGCAGAAGGATCCCCTCTCCAACTTGGTCCTTCAGTTCCTCCATCATTGTAATCATTGAAATCAAGATCACCTCCCTTGATTCTGGTTCTCTCCTCTCCTCCTCTCCTCTCCTCCCCTCCCCTCCCCTCCCCTCCCCTCCACTTCATTCTCTCCCCTCCCCTCTTACAGGTAGTCTTTGACTTACAACTATTTGTTTAGCAACCATTCAAAGTTACAATAGCACTGAAAAAAATGACTTACAACTGGTCCTCGCACTTACAATCAACTCAGCATCCCTGTGGTCCTGTGATCAAAATTTGGACACTTGACAACCAACATCTATTTACTGCAGTTGAAGCATGAAGCATCCTGGGTTGTGTGATCACCATTTGTGACTTCCTAGCTGGCTTTTGATAAGCAAAGTCAATGGGGGAAGTTGAATCCACTTAACAACTGTGTGATTCACTTAACAATTGCAGTGATTCATTTAATGATCTCCGCAATTATTGTATAATTGAATGTGACTCATTTAACAACTGCATTGCTTATCAACAGAAATTCTGGTCCCAGTTTTGGTTGTAAGTCAAGGACCTATTCTTTTCTATTCGATTCCATCCTGTTCCGTTCCATTCTTGAAGCCTGACACAAACGAAGGACAAAGGGTACAATTCTATACACAATAATTCACTGAGTGAAGCTTTTGAACAGTTATATATTACACTGGAATCAGTGGTGGGTTTCAAATTTTTTTACTACCGGTTCTGCGGGTATGGCTTGGTGGGCATGGCTTGGGAAGGATACAGTAAAATCTCCATTCCCATCCCACTCCAGGGGAAGGTTACTGCAAAATCCCCATTTCCTCCCAATCAGTTGGGACTCGGGAGGCAGAGAATTGATGTGGGCAGAGCCAGTCAGAATTTTTACTACCGGTTCTCCAAACTACTCAAAATTTCCACTACTGGTTCTCCAGAACCGGTCAGAACCTGTTGAAATCTACCTCTGACTGGAATGTATTTCTGAGAATATTGGATTGCAGTGTAAAATAGTGATCTCAGTATAGCTGATAAAAGAAAGGACTGCAGGAAGAGAAAGAAAAAAAATGCATAAAACTAAATCAAGCTTGGGGTCTTGTCAAGAGCTGCTGAAGGCAACCAATAAGAGATTTATCAGCAAAAAAAGAAAGAAAGAAGAAAAGAAAAAAAACAAAAAGAAAAGAGTGGAACAGGTTTCCTGGGATGCTACAATGATATTTGAAGAATATTTTCCCTAAAAAACATAGGCAGCAAATAAGGACTGAATTGAAATATTTTATTGTTGTTCTCTCCTCACCTCTCTCTCCTTCCAGCAGGGGGCAGTAAAAGATTAACAAAACGAAGCCATCTCCAAAATGAAGATGCTGACATTTTAAGGCCCCATGAAGTGCATAATATTCACACACAGACTTTTTCATGAAATATGCTTTTTCCTCTGATACTTCATTTAACTCCCAACAGCCCCTTCCTCTCAGATTATTCACTCAGGTCTCCCAGATGGACTGTTGTGTTATTCTTCTGCAGCAAAGCCAGAGCACATTGTGGCACATTCTCACATAAATTTGCATGAGTACAGAATGTTTAATTATGCAAAATTAATTAATTAATTAAATACATTTATGGTACAGATCATGTTAAATGAGTCTATCTAGGGAAGGATTTCTCAATCTTGGCAAGTTTAAGTTCTGTGGACTTCAATTCCCAGAGTTGAAGGTTCTCACTATATTTGGGTGGCAAAACTCCAGACAACTGCTAGATGGCAGCAAAGTGGTGGAATTTTTCCATTTCCTTGCTGCCACCTTGTGGTCATCTGCCGTTTTGCAGCTTAGACATTTAAATCTTCCTCTTACCACTATCCACTTTCCACAGAGGCCAAAAACCACCTGCATTTTAACAATAGTATAAGGACCATTAGTCACTGTATTGTATTTTGGGTTGGCCATGACAGTCCAATTTTTTAAACATATCCATGGTGTTTCTTATGTTATGTAAAACATTTATATTCATTTTCTTCTTGTCGGACACACAGCTGAGATTCGAATGTAGTTTCTTTACAAAAGCAGCTGTATGCCACATAACATTGAGGAGGTGGTGTGAAACCCAATGACAAAACAATTGCAAACTGCTAAAAACTGGCAACTGGAAATGTAATTAAACAGGAAATCAATCCTTTGTTATGGCTGCAGAAATCACACCTAGGAGATTTTGGGTGGCTTGCATTAAAAATCACAACATATATAGACCCATAAATATCCTACTCCACCTCACCCCCTGGCAGAATACAGAATAAGAGAGTTGGAAGGGACCTCAGAGGTCCTCCAGTCCAACCCTCACTCAAACAGGAGACCGTAAATCATTTCAGATAGGTGGCTGTCCAGTATTTTCTGAAAAACCTCCAGTGATAAACCACCTACAACTTCTGAAGGCAAGCTGTTCCATTGGTTGATTGTCCTCACTGTTAGGAAGTTTCTCCTCTAACAGTTGAACAACCTGATTCCAGGTTGCTTCTCTCCTTGATTTGTTTCCATTCCATTTATTTCTTGTCTTGCCTTCTGGTGCTTTGGAAAAATCAACCACTTAATCGAGTCCATATCTATTCATGGTCCCAGGCTCGCTGACAAAACCACATCTTAGGGCCTTTCAGAAAAGCAGAAGGGTGGGGGCTAACCATACATTGTGGGGAATGCTAAAAATGATAAATTATAAACAGGAAATCAACGACTATGTGTCAGAATGGTCAAACAATTGGCAACTCCAAATCTCAACCAACAAATGTGCTGTCATTGACATTGAACTGCAAACTAGGGCATACAAAACTTTTGCCAGACCAATTCTTGAATACAGCTCATCTGTCTGGAACCCACACTGCATATCAGACATTAATACAATCAAACGAGTCCAGAGATATATCACAAGAAGAGTCCTCCGTTCCTTTGCTCGCAACAAAGTACCTTATGCCATCAGACTCAAAATTTTGGGCTTAGACAACTTAGAACTTTGCCGTCTTCGGTCTGACCTAAGCATAGTACATAAAATCATCTGCTACAATGTCCTACCAGCCAATGAATACTTCAACTTCAACCAAAACAATACAAGAGCACACAAT